CGTGGTGCTGTCACGTAGGGTGACGTTCTCCTCTCGCACAAATTGGGGGTCATGTGCGGTCGCCTAGGGTCCATCCCGGGTCTTGTGTGAGTTGGTTTTTATCAGTAGGTTCCGTTCTCTCGTGTTCCTGGTGACTGTGCTGAATGCTGGGCTCCGCGTGGAAATGTTGGGAGCTCCCAGCATGCTCCTCCTCGGGGGCCCGGGGGCACGGTCGGAGGTCTGGGGGGGCAGGGTCGGAGGTCGGGGGGCATGGTTCAAGGTGGGGGGCGCGGACCGAGGTTTGGGGGCTGTGGTCCAAGGCCTGGGGGCTGAGGGCCGCCATGGCAGGGTAGGGGATTGTGACCTGCTGGGTGGCCCCACTCCTGGGTCTCTGAGTCTCAGCTGGGGTCCCCCAAAGCACCACCTCCTCAGCAGGCCCCAACCCCGGGTCTGTCCGGCTGACACGTGAGAACCAGCTCCTGGACTGACCGCCGTTTCTCAGAAGCTTGCCCAGCACGTGCTTCGCGGTTGAAGCGAAATTGGGAAGTCAGGCCCGAGGCCAGCTCCCGGGGCCATGACCCCACACTCGGCCTGTGGCCCCTTCTGCTCCGCCCACAGCGGTCCTCCCTCTCGGGGCCCCGCAAGTCCCGGCAGCTTCCTTCACTGCAGCTTGGGGGTTGTTCTTGGTGGGGGCCGGGCTTGCGAGCAGAGGGCAAAACCAGCAGAACCCACTGGATCCGGGTGGCAGTGGCCCGGGCGGTGGGCTTCGTGGCCATGTGCCAGCTGGGACGGGGCCAGGCTGCGTCGGGTGGGGAAACGCCCGGAGGGAGTTTCAGGTGCTCTGACCTGTCTCAGGGGCAGGCAGGCCCGCGGGTCCTGGCCCCTCTGGGCACTGTCCAGGTCTGACCACTCTCCACCCGGGTCTCTAGCAGCTGCGCCGGCACCGTCCTGAGCATGGGGACCCCAGGCACCTGCCGGTCACTTTCTGTCTTCTCTGCGGGCCCAGAGTAGCCAGTGTCACGGGTCCTCACGGTCGGTTTCCCCTTTGTCTCTCTCTCTTCCTGGCTTTCCCTGCACGACTTTTGTCATTTTCTACCCAAAAGACCCTATTCCATGGGCTCTAAACACGTTATTTTCCCGCGTCTCAGCATCCGTGAAGTGGGCGTGTCTCACGGCCGACGGTGCGGGACTCGGATGTTGGTGGCGTTTCCGTCACATCCAGGACAGGACGGTGACCGTCATGCCCCACCCACGCTCGGCACCTGTGTTCTCCGGTGTGGTGCTGTGGTGTCAGCACAGACACGTGTTCCTCCGTAGGTGGCCCTTTCGGAGCCACCGTCTGGTGGGCGCCGCCCTGGTGTCCCCCGTGGCGTGTCTGAGAGAGGGGCTGCCTGCAGCGGAGCAGAGAAGCCGGGGGGCTGGGCAGTCACCCCAAGTGCCCATGATACAGACCAGCTCCTCTGTGCTGCCCCGTGGTCCCCTGTCCACCCCCGCCCCAGGCAGACGTGTGTGCCAAGGAGTCACCCCACTCTTTGGGCTCCTCAAACGCAGCAGGACAAGTCTGAGTTCATCCGCAGCTGGTTCCTTCTCACGCCGAGCTGTGACCCGCTGTGTGGACGGCTGTGTGTCACCTGCAGGACAGCAGAGCCAGTTCCCGTTCGGGCCCTTGTGGTCAGAGCTGACACAGACATTCTTGTCCAGGGTGCTGCGTGGACAGTCTTCATTTCTCATTTCTGGGGTGACACCTGGAAGTGGGTTTGCCTGTGGAGACTTAACCCTCTTCCAGCCTGCCCGTGTCCACCGTTTCCTCCGGCCAAGCCCACGGCCCCGTGGCTCCGCGTCCTCGTCCGCGTGGGCTGTGCGTGGTGCGCAGGCCTGACCCCTCCGGAGGCGCCAGGCGGCCTCGCTCCGGGGTCTGGCTGAGCTGCGCGCGGTGGCGGCGAGGGGACAGGTTTCCCGAGCCCGCTGCCCGCCCTCCAGCGGTCTGTCCAGATCTCCCGTCCCTTTCTAAGGCTCGCTCGGCTCCCGTGGGGTGCTGAGAGCACCCGGTGTCTTCATGGCACGGCCCTGTCGGACCCGGGGCGAGCCAGCGTCTCCCCCGGTCCCAGCGGCTTGTTTTCTCGTCCTTCCCAGACAGCAGTGTCTGCTTTGGACAAAGTCCGGTGTCTCACTTGTAGGGCTTGTGCTCTTGGGCCGTGTCTAAGCATTTAGCACAGAGGTTTTCTTCTGAGGGTTTCGGGGTTCTCTGTCTCATGTCGGGCCCGCCGGCCCTTTCCGTCCGAGTGGGCAGAGGCGTGCGGTTCAGATCAGGGGTGTGCTGCTGTGAGACCAGCCACCGGGCCCGTTGGCTGACGGGCTGTCCCCCCACCGAGCGACTCCCGCACCCACAGAGCAGCTGGGGGCACCCCGGGCCCTTTCTGGGCTGCACGGCCTCCTCCGGCCTCCTCTGCTGTCGTTCAGCCTGGAGCCGGGCAGCATGAGTCAGCGCTTTCGCTCCCTTTGGCTCACGTTGACTTTTTCTGTATAATTAAGGACTAGGGGGTCATTGTCTCGTCCTGCCGTGCTCGCCAAAGGCAGATGCCCTCGCCCCCCACCCGGGCCCTGCCCAGCCTCCACGCGCGTTGTGGGGCGCCCGAGGGCAGGGGCTGCCTCTGCTGTCTGGGGGTGTCCCCTTGGTTTCTCCCGGGGACACACTGCTTCTGGTGGCCTCTGCCACGGCAGCACCCGTGGGCTGCGGACGGAGTGTGTGTCTTGGGGGGAGTGTCCGTGGCTTTCTCGGGATTCTGAGTCGGGGACCCCCAGGAGGCTAAGGAAGTTCAGGGTGGGGCCAGCCTGACCCCCGGACCTGCATCACCTGTGCCTCCTCCATCCATCCTGTAAACATTTCTTTCTTGTGGTAAAATACACATAACATTGACCATCTTACCCATTTTTTTTAATGCTCACCCGGGGATATGTTTCTGTTGATTTTTTTTTAGGGGGGAGGGAGAGAGAGGCATCAATGTGAGAAACATCTGTCCGTTGTCTCCTGTATGTACCCCGAGCAGGGATGGGGCCCGCGGCCTGGGAAAGTGCCCTGACCCAGAACCGAACCTGACCTCTTGGTGTGTGGGACAGTGCCCCCAACCACTGAGCCAACCGGCCAGGGCTCCTTCCTCACAGCCGAGCACCGCTCCGGGGGTCAGGGGCACTCACTGCAGGGCGGCCACCACGTCCTCTCAGACACTGTCCACCCTTCCAGCTGACTGTCCCAGAAAACGCCCCCCCCCGGCCCCCACTTTCCACTTCCTGTCTGGATCTGACTTCTCAGGGACCTCGGATAAGGGGGTCACACAGGACTGTCCTGTCTCTGGCTCCTCCCTCTCAGAATACTGTCCCCGGGTCCTGGTCCTTCCTTGCTGAGTGATGGGGTCACCGAGGCAGGAGTAGAGGGCTTGGAAGCACACGGGGACCCTCTGGAGCCCTGGAGGGTCCGCACGGTTTCCTTCGGCCATTGTCACCTGTCTGCCCAGCCACGCTGTTCCTGTTGAGACCCCAGTGACTGGACTCACCTGTCCCAATCGAGAGCTGTCACTCAGCTCCCCACACCGCAGCGAACCCCTCACCGCGGCTCTGCACGGCTCCTGTGCCAGGGGTTGGAGCTCCCCAGGAACCACTGCTGCTGGTGAAGGTCCTGGGGTGACAGGAGGCCACGCCCCACCCTCAGCCCACCAGGGGTACGGCAGCGGCCCCGGCACGGCGCCCCGGGCACCAGCTCGCCGGTCCCCAGAACCTAGTTGTAACGCAGGCCCCTTGGGCCCTGGAAGGAGGAGCCCAGCAGGGCCAGGGCGCAGGAAGGAATTCGGGGCACCTTTCCAGCGGCGCCCCCTCGGGTGTGGGTATTTTTGGCTGGCGTGGCTCTGGTCCGGGCCTAGCGCCTGTTCTGGATCCGACGTCTCTGGCTCCTGGTGTTTAGAAAGGCAGGGCGAGGCCCGGCGGGTCCAGGAAGCACTGTGTCTGTCGTCTGTCGGTGCCGGTGGGCGCCAGGCGGCCCGTCTGCCGCGTGGGCACAGGGCGGCAGGAACTCTGCTGCAGGTGCCGGGGGGCCTGTCTCCTGTGCCCCAGGTGCCCGCCCGGGGGGCTCCAGGCTTGGAGATTTTCCGGTGCTCGCTGGCCCCCCACCCTGCAGGGTTCCCCACATGCCCGGTGGGAAATGCCCTCATCTGTGTGGCCAGAGCTGGACTGAATTCAGAGGGGAGGGCACAGGTGGAGGAGTGGCCTGGGGGTCCTTGGGTGAGGATTCGGGCAGCTCCACTGTGTGGGCACCCACCTGCCCCCCCCAGTGTCCCGGCCTCCGGGCAGCAGTGGTGTGGGGGATACCCAGCAAGTGTCCTATCAACCTGGGTCTCCTTGAGCACCACAGGGGTCCCCGCCCTGGCCACAGGAGGACAGCAGCAGGCCTGGGGGGGTTAGGAAGGGGGGAGCGGGTCTTCCACTTGATGCCTGGCCAGGGGACATCAGGGCGCCTCCCTATCCCCCATCGTAGCTGCAGGGTTGGCTGGCCCAGGGGTCCCAGACTGTCCTCCCACCCCCTCGAGGTGGTCTGCCAGGAGCATTCACAGGTGCTGCCCCCGCCCCCGTAGCTCTGCCCCCTCCCCCAGGCTCTGCCCGCCTGTCTTGACTGCTGGCAAATGTTGATGGAGCTGCCTCTCTGCCAGGTGTGGGTACAGCCTCCGGGGAAGAGAGCCCCTCACAGAGGGGCGGCACCCCACATGTACACCTCGCCCTGAGCTTCTGCCTGGTGGGTGCCTCCAGGAGCTCCCAGGGGTCTGGGCGACTGTTCCCGGGCCTGGGCGGGCACCGTCCCCCTGCAGGGGCAGGACCAGGCGGGCCAGGAGAGTGGGGCTCTGCCAGGCCTGGTGGGCAGGAGAGGGCGTCGAGGGCAGGCACCCAGCGGTCTAGGAGGCAGAGAGGGTGTTCCTGGACTCCGCCCCTGCCCAGGGCCGCTCTGGGGGCCTCTGACCGAAGTTCTGTGCCCACAGTGCAAGAGAAGCCGGAACCGGTGCCGCTGGAGAGCCGCTCCTGTGTCCTCATCCGCCGGGACCTGGTGGCCCTGCCCGCCAGCCTCATCAGCCAGATCGGGTACCGCTGCCACCCCAAGCTCTACTCGGAGGGGGACCCCGGCGAGAAGCTGGAGCTGGTGGCAGGTGAGGCCCGCGCCGCCGCCCTTGTGTGCAGAGGTCCTCCAACTACTCCTCTGCAGAACTATGGTCAGGGTGCTCATCACCAGTCAGTCAGAAACAGATAGACCTTCTTCTGTTTCCTCCCATTTCCGTTTGGGAGACTGTGTCATTAAGAGGAGTTATTCAAATGAATTAATTTAGCATTTTAATTGAGTCCCCTGAGCGGGTCTTGCTTCTGATGGGCAGGAGCGGCAGGGACCTGTGTTCTAGTTTGGTGGCAGATTAACCAAGACCAGTGCCACCAGACTCCCCCCCCCAGACTCCCCACGTGCCCGTTGCCATGCCCGCAGGGAGATGCCAGGGGTTTGGCGCGGCCGCTCTTGGAGGCGGGCTTGTCTGGACAAGGAACTCCAGTCAGCAGCCCACGGGGCCGGTGTCCTTGTCAGAAATGTTTCTCTTTGCAGTGGGGTTTGTTCTTAGATGTTAAGGCTGTTCAGGGGGGATGGTTGCTGATGGCTCCTCGCTGGTGGACGTGGTGCCCTTTCTAGGGGTCGCTGCTCTCGTCACCAGGACCCCAAACACAGGCTGCCTGGGACCAGGGCGCCGCCTCCTCCGGGCACCTCCGCTCCCTCAGCCGGCCGCAGGTCCCCGACTCCGTCTGTTGGTGTTTGGGGTCCGAGGGGCCCAGCCCCCGTGACAGGTCTCCCCACAACAAGGGGGTTTAGGGTGACCTGCTCTGCCGTTGAGTTTGAGGCTCTGCAGACATGACCGGTGGGTGTGAGGCCCTCGGACGCCTGGCATGTTGAGGTATCAGCGGACGTCCCTGAGCTCCCACCTGGTGGGGTTCCCCGGTTTTGCCAGGTTTCTCACGGCCGACAGCAGCGTGTGGGCTCGTGGTCGCACCGTGTCCCTGAGCTGGAGGTCTCTGACTCGGTGGAGCCCCAGCCCGACCTCCACGACCCACTCCCGTCCCGGTATTTGGAAGGGACCGCAGGGCAGGACAGGATGTTCCCGGACCCTGGCCGAGCCCGGGAGTGCCCTTGAAGCGGGAAGGTAGTTTGGGGACAGCCGAGAGCGAGCCACCGAGGCTGCCTCCCCAGCGCAGGGCCTCAGCGCCCTGGGGGTCCTGTCGGGTCAGGAGGGCCTCTCCCGCCCCGTCCTGTCCGGCCTCACTGTGTGTCTGGCGGCCGCAGGCTCAGGCGTCTGCATCACGAGGGGCCAGCTGATGAACTGCCACCTGTGTGCGGGCGTGAAGCACAAGGTGCTGCTGCGGAGGCTGCTGGCCACCTTCTTCGACAGGTAGGCCCCGCCCGCGTCTCCCTGGGTCAGCGTGCTCCCCGAAGCCCCCCCCCGCCCGTCTCCCTGGGCTCAGCGTGCTCCCCGAGGGCGCCCCCCGCCCGGCGTCTCCCTGGGCTCAGCGTGCTCCCCCAAGGCCCCCCCCGCCCGGCGTCTCCCTGGGCTCAGCGTGCTCCCCCAAGGCCCCCCCCGCCCGGCGTCTCCCTGGGCTCAGCGTGCTCCCTGAGGGCGCCCCCGCCCGGTGTCTCCCTGGGCTCAGCATCTCCCTGGGCTCAGCGTGCTCCCCGAAGCCCCCCCCCCGCCCGGCGTCTCCCTGGGCCTCAGCGTGCTCCCCGAGGGCGCCCCCCCCTGGCGTCTCCCTGGGCCCAGCGTGCTCCCCGAAGGCCCCCCCCCCCGCCCGGTGTCTCCCTGGGCTCAGCGTGCTCCCCGAAGCCCCCCCCCGCCCGGTGTCTCCCTGGGCTCAGCGTGCTCCCCGAAGCCCCCCCCCCGCCCGGTGTCTCCCTGGGCCTCAGCGTGCTCCCCGAAGGCCCCCCCCCGCCCAGTGTCTCCCTGGGCTCAGCGTGCTCCCCAAGCAGCATGTGCCTCAAGACTCCCTCCCCCAGCCCCTAGCGTCTCCCTCCTTAGCAGCGTGCCCCCCCCCGCCCCAGCGTCCCCCTAGGCTGCAGTGTGCTCCCCTAGGACCTTGCCTTTCCAACAGTACACCTGGTCAGCCCAGGACCCTGGGGTCAGAGGCCAGACCCTCAGACATTTCCGGGAGGGCTTGGGGACCCCCCACCAGAGTGAAGAACACTCTCCATTCCCCGTGGGGCCTTCCTGTCTCCCCTCCACCAGAGGGTGTGGGGCCTGTACCCTGCACCGCACCAACCCCTGGGGATGCGCACCAGTCCATAGGAAGACCCGGGGTCCCCATGCCCACCACGGGCATTTGGCTCCTCGCCCCGCACGCAGGTGGGGAAGGCCTTTCCCACGGTCCCCTGTGTCCACCTCCTCATTCTGCCTTCCTCCCCGTCCCTCCGCCAGGAACACACTGGCCAACAGCTGTGGCACAGGCATCCGTTCGTCCACCAGTGACCCGAGCCGCAAGCCACTGGACAGCCGAGTCCTCAACGCTGTGAAATGTAAGGGCGCGGGTCTCGCGGGGGCGGGGTTCTGGAGGAGCCCCTGGGACTCAGCTGGGAGGGTGGCCGTGAGGGGGCCAGGCTGGGCCCCGGGTCAGAGGAGACGACAGAACGGTTCTGGGGAGCCAGGTCTCGCGGTGTGAGCGTTCTTGGCGGGTTTCCAAGCATGATGAATTCAGCTGTGAAACTATTTTAATATGTGAAATAGATCTAATTCTCCTTTTTGAACAAAACCCTTTATTTACATTTGGAGGTTATTTTGGGCCTTTGCCATCTGCTCGGCAGCTCCTGCCTCCCACTCCTGGGCACGGGGGGTGGGGCCCGCCATGCCGAGGCAGACGCTGCCCGTCCCGCACCCCGTGTGGGCAGAAGCTGACCAGTGCCCAGCGCAGCCACGCTGGCCAAGTGCGCGTCTTCCCGTAGCCATGGGCACACGACCACGGTCATACTTTCTTGCTTAAACAACATCTCGTGTCAGAGCAGAGGGCCTTTGCCATCGGCAGTGTGGGGTGCTGTCCAGGCCTCCAGGAATGCTGGGCACGGGTGTGGCTGATGCTGCCCGCCGCAGGGCTAGTGTAGGGGGCTGGCCGGGGGCACCTGCTCCTGGAGACCTGGGGGAGAGAGGGGTGGGTCATCATTATCAACACTGATGCTGACACCGAGGTTGCTCACTTGCCCGGGGCTGGGCACCAGCTCCCTTCTCCCTCTGCCCAGCCTGTGAGTGGACACCCAGGCTCTGCCCTGACTCCCCCTCCAGCCAGGCTGGTGATATCTGTCAGGCTCATTTGACCAGGCCCTGGCCCCGGGCGGGAGCAGGGTGGGCAGAGGGCAAAAGTGAGGTCAGAGATGCCAAGGGCCTGCCCAAGGCCACACGGCCAGCCAGAGGTCAGAGAGGGCCGGAGCCCGGTGCCCTCCGCTCCCTGGAGCCACAGCCTTGCCCTGGGCGCTCTGGCTGTCTCTCCTCCCTGAGCGTTCTGTCCCGGAGTGTCCTGTGGCCTGCAGGGCCCTGGTGAGAAGGGTGACCGCTGGTCTTCAAGCTGCGACCTGAGAGTGTTGGGCGGCCACATGGTCTCTGGGCCCATGGGGAGCAGGGCCCATCCCCGTGCCCTGGCCCAGCAGCGGCCCCTCCAGCACATGCTCTGACCCCAGGCGGTCCGGGGCCCCTGGGGAGGTGGGGGGCAGGGCGGGGAGCCCCAGCAGCGCCCTCACGCCCCCTGCCCCCCCAGTGTACTGCCAGAACTTCGCGCCCAGCTTCAAGGAGAGCGAGATGAACGTCATCGCCGCGGACATGTGCACCAACGCCCGCCGCGTCCGGAAGCGCTGGCTGCCCAAGATCAAGTCCATGCTGCCGGAGGGCGTGGAGATGTACCGCACGGTCATGGGGTCCTCGGCCGCCAGCGTGCCCCTGGACCCCGAGTTCCCGCCCGCCGCGGCGCAGGTGTTCGAGCCGCGCCTGTACGCGGAGCGGCGCGGGGACGCGGCCGCCACCGTGGCGCTGAGAACTGACCTGGGCGCCCCCGCCAGCGCCGCCTTCGAGGCCGGCGAGGAGGCGGAGGGCGCCGGCTCCGTCATCCAGGAGGTGGCGGCCCCCGAGCCGCTGCCCGCCGACGGCCAGAGCCCGCCGCGGCCCTTCGAGCAGGGCAGCGGCGGCTCCAGCCGGCCCCCGACGCCCGCCGCGCGGAGGCCCGACGGCGCCTACGCCGGGACTTTGTAGGGCGCCCAGGGACCGGTCCTAGCAGCTTGCATGCGTTACTAATACAAACAAATGTGATCCAGCCACTTACCTACTGAACTGCTGTTGCCTGAGAAAAATGTGATTTTTATTCTGCTTGTATTTAAAATTTATGAAGGAAACAAATGCATTCGTGACACTGTAAGCAATTAGCCCACTGGCTGCTGAGCTGTGAGGAAGGCCCAGGGCCCCTTTGGATACTCGAGGTCAGTCTCCAAGTGTAGCTTCTCCCTCCTCGGAGGGGCGAGAGGCCCCAGGCCCTTGTGCCCAGCCCTGCCCGAGCCTCCCCCTTCCTGCCCTCTGCCAGGACGAAGCCAGGGACCCGCGTCCTTACCCAAGAGGACGCCGCCCACCTCTCCGCGGCCACAGCCAGGGCTGGGCCCCCAAGGGCCAAACTCCCTGTTTTTCCTTCTTTTTGCAACTCGGGGCCAGGCCTGCCGGGCCGCTGTGAGTGTGGGGGGGTGTGCTAGCCTGTGTGTGAGCGTGTGTGGGGAGCAGCGTGACGAAGCTGGGCCTTGCTGTCCCTGTGAGGAGGAAGGGTTCCTGGCTGCACCTGCTCTCCGCCCCCACAGCCCCTCGGTGCACCTGGGCCCCTCTGGCTCCTGCCTGCTGCTCGCTGTCCCATGGGGCGGGGCGCCACCCAGGTGCCCCCCCAGCCTTGTTGGGATTATGTTTGTTTATTTGTTCTCGTCTGAATACAGATCAATTTCATACATGGTTTGGAAACTTTCAGACCCAAAAGAGCAAAAAATTAGGGAGGACTGGGTGTTCCTGCCCCTGACCCACTATGGCTTGAGGGCAGGTCATCTGTATGCCATGTCCCCCCACCCCAAGGCCAGGTTTTACTCACCTCTTGTTGGGGGCCAGAGTGTGTGGCGATGTGGAAGCTATTCAGGGGCGGCCTGAGGGCCGGGCATCGTGCTGCGGGGGCCAGGGGCCGGGCTGGGGTTCTGACCCTTGGGGTGTGCCCCACGCGGAGGCTGCAGCGGGGGGCACAGGCCTGAGCTGAGGCAGTTGCAGGGTGCCCGAGGCAGCAGGTGCCAGGTTCTGGCAGGTGTGAGGAGGGCCAGCAAGGACCAGCGCAGCAGTTACTGGTGTGTTTGATGCTAGAATGTTCCCTTTGAAGTGTAATTGCTGGTTTTGGGGGGGAAGGAACATGGGTTGTTCCGTAGCCACTTGCCCAGGGGCTCTGTCCTCGTCCAGGGGCTGCCTTCCTCCCAAGTCCCAGGCAGCCCCCAGATGTGGCCAGAGACACCCCCTCTGTTCCCAAACTGCAGGGGTCTCTTGCTTGGTGCCTCGGTCTGCAGCCGTCTGCCTGTGCGTAGGGCCAGGCAGGCGAGGCTCAGACCCACTCAGGACCCACAGAGCTGAGCCTCCCCAGCTGCAGGGCCGTGGGGGGTGGTCCCAGCATGGGGCAACCTGGAGGGGTGTTCAGCTCTTTCCCGCTTACTCCTGCTGACCGCTGCCCTTCCTGTGGGGAGACACTGCTGAGGTGGGGGATCCTTCCCAGCCTTCTGGCCCCCTCCAGCCAGGCCAAGGGGTGCCTGGCCTCCAGGAACACCTGCAGCTTCTGGGAAGGGGTGGAGGACCCTGGTGGGCTGGCTCGGGAGGTCATCTCAGCCCCTTTGGCACCGTCCCTGCCCGGGACACGGGCCGAGCCCTGGGGTCTGTGTCTCAGGAGGCTTCCGCTCCTGCTGGGCTTCCAGCCAGCACCTGGCCCAGGGGTGGGCGCCGCCTCCTCCCAGCTGGGCCAGGGCCCACTAGGGACCAGAATGGAGCCCTCCTGGAACTGAGAGGCCATGACCCCCGCATGCTCAGGAGGCCTCAGGGCCATGAGGTGACGGTGGGTGAGGCTGACTCCCACCCATCGCCCCTCTGGAGTTTCCCTTATCTGCTCTTCCCACCCAAATTTGCACTTTAATTTGACCATCCCTGGGGACCCTCGAGACAGGCCCACCTGTCCTGACTGTTGACAGAAGGGCTTGCTCTGTCTCCCTCTCTCTCCTCCACTCCAGAGTGGGCACGGCCGCCCACCGGGGCCAGGACAGGGAGGGTGCCACTGGCCCAGCAGAGGAGGCGGTGGCCGCACAGAGAAGGCCTGGCCGAGGCTCAGGCCTGCACAATGTCCCGTGACCTCTGCCCTTAATGTGTGTACGCGCTGTCTGTTTTGTTCTGGGTGAGGAAGGCAGAGCCGCAGGTGGAACTTGAATCATTAAATGTGAATGGGTTCTGAGCTCTCCCGTGCCCCGGGCGGGCCGGGCGAGCATTTTGCACTAATGTGTCCCGCGGTGGGCGTGGGTCCGGAGCGTTTGCAGACGGGAATGGCTGACGATTGTACGTGCCGGGGCGTCCCTCCGAGTCCCGGGCGTTCCGCGGGGCGGCGGCGGCCTGGCTCGGGGGGCCTTTCAGAGTGCCTTAGCATCTTTTGATCATTTTTCCCAAGGAAAACCAATTACGAAAACCGGACCCTCCCCCTCCTCTGTTTACAAGACGAATAATTCCTGTTCTGTCGGCGTGATCCTGACCCCCAGACCCTGTAGCTGGAGAGACGAGCCACTCAGTATTTATGAGATGTGTGCACCTTTATCCCTGAGCTTGACACTAGCAATACGCATATACTACATAGTCTATTATAGAGCTAAGTCGTGATGCCGCGAGGAGGAGAGAAGGGCCTAATGGCGGGTAGCTGGTGTGGCGGCTGGACCCCAGGCCCCGCCCTCCTGCGGGAGGCAGCTGGGGAGGTGTGCAAACGGTCCCAGGTCCCACGGAGGGGACCAGAGATGTGACAGAACTGTGAGCTCGGGTGGGGCCCGCCCCAGGCCGCCGGTCTCGGTACTTGAATTGTCTCGTTTTCTGCACTGTGTCTGGCTTGCCCAGAGTTCTCTGTGGTCACTTAATTTTGCATTGGATGTGATTGTCTGTCTTTGCCCAGACTGGGCGCAGCTGTGGATGAGAGCGAGAGGGCAGACCTTGGGCGCGAGCCGGCGTCCCCTTCCCGGCCCCGGTGCGGTGCCTCTGGGCAGGGTCTCCGGGAGCCTGGTGTATTTCTCCTCCAGGAAAATTTATTTTGTTTATGTTCGGCGCTGGGAGGAAGGCAGAGGCGGGGCGGCCGTGCGGGGACGCGGGTGTGCCGGCCCTGACCTGTTCTCGCTGCATAGTGGGGACCGTCTCGCCGGCCCTGTGCGGCCTCCCCGGCCTTTGACTGCTCAGATCCTCCTTAGACAGGTTGTTTTCATGGAAATATCTCTCAGGAGGGAAGGGCCAGTTACCCATTAACCAGCTGAAAACTCCGAGAAAGCAGTGACCGCCGCAGCCCCGGGGTGCGCCGCGTTCAGAGTGTCGCTGCTGCCTGAAGGCTTGCGCTCGGACCCGAGACCGGCAGGGCGTGGCACAGGGTGTCTCTAACGTGGCAAAGGTTTTGGGTGTTTTGTGTGTGTGGTGTTTCTTGGGAGTAAAGACGGAAAGGAAAATGATGCAGAATCTAAAGCGTTCAGATTGGACAGCCCGCTCGAATTCCCATCAGTTGCGTTGTTAGCGTTTTGCACATGACTGTAATTTTTATGTCAACAGAAGCCAAAACTCGCAATACTATTTTTAGCAGACAAAAAAAAAAAAAAAAAAAGAACTAAGTATAAAAATGTATAAATATTTTTGACTTGAACATTTGGAAGACACTGGGAGCAAACAGACTGTTCATCCTCTGGACGGGATGTTTGGGGAAAGACTTTCAAAGGAGCCGGTGGTTGTGAAGTCTGAGGGGTTAGGGACACTGTAATCGAGACTGTTAAAAACAAATAAATAAAACACATAAACTTCCTGTGCTGTGGAAGGGTTGGTTTCATGTACCGCCGCCCGCGTCCGGCCTCAGCCACGGGAGATGCTAGCTTTTTTTTTATTTGAAGAAGGAGGAGGAAACCTTTGTTTTCGCTGCGTCTCGGTCTCCGGCTGCTGCTTTCTGGCCGCGGCCGACTCTGTACCGCTGACAACCTGTAGAAACGTCCACCCGCGACCACGAAACAGGGCTCCCAGCTACTTCAGGAGGTGGAAATCCGTGATGGACAGACAAAAGGACGTGATCGGTAAATGTAAAGCGCTTTGTAAAATTCACATTTACAGAATAATAAAGTCAGTTCAAACCCAAGTTGCCTGCGTTGAGCTTGGACAGGAGGGTTGAGGGGGAGGCCTTGAGAAGCTGGGGGGGGGGGAGCTGGGTGGTTAGGGTCAGGGTGACCACTGTCCTGGGATGCCCTCGGGACCCAGGAGCCTCGGTAGGGGACGGGCCATCCCCAGGCTCGCTGCCCACTGTCCACACCTGGTCCACTTACCCTCCCTCCCCCAAGGTCTTACAAGGGACGGGGGCTGCTGGGTAGGATGTCCAGGGGGTCACGGGCCTGGGTGAGGGCCTCTCCTTTTCTTTCTATTGCTGCAAAGTGGGACGGCTCACCTGCCTGCCACCCTCCAGGTATGCACAGGCCTCCCCGCCCTGCCCCAGCCTCCTGCTGGACAAGCCCTGCCCCCGGGTGGACAGGGGGGGAATTGCAAGTGGGCAGAGCAGGTCTGGCCCACCGGGAGCCCCTGGGGCCGGGTGGGGACTCCTTCCAGCTGCCCCTGGAAGCGTGCCCCCAGGAGGCCAGCGGGGCTGGGGTTCTCGGGTCCAGGCCTGGCATCTGCTTCCCGCTGTGGACACCGCAGGCGGGTCCTCACTCCTCCGTCCTGTGAGGAGCTCGTCCGGAGTGGCCACCTCGGACCTTACGAAAGCGCCCCTGGTCTCCCCCCTTTCTCGGGCTCTGTAGCGCTGGCTCGGCCCAAGCTGGGATTTATGGGGCAGGCGTCTGCAGGTCTCTCTTCGTGATGTCCTGGGAGCCGCGGCCAGCACGGAGCGGGCAGTCTGACCTGGCTGGACGTGGTTTCCAGAGGGCCCTCGGCATGGGGCCCTGCCGCAGGCGCTGCTGGTCCAGGGTCGCCCTGAGCAATCCCTCCTGCGGCGGCCACAGCCCGCTGGTCCCCAGGCGTGCCCAGGCTCCTGCCCAGCCCCCTGCCCAGCCCAGCTCCAGGCACCAGGCTGGGCACCTGGGTCTCAGTTCCTGCTTCGGGCCTTGTTTGCAGGGTGGTTCCTGCCACCCCCGCCCAGCTCCCCAGCGTCCCCTCGGCGTGTGCTGGCCACTTGCCCTCGGGCCTCGAAGCCAGAGGACGGGGTGGGTTCCCAGTTCACCCACCGGGGCCAGAGGAGACACCCAGACCTTGGGCCATGGGCCCCGCATTCTGGAAGGGCCCAAAGCGCCCTCAGACCCCTACCCAGGCAAACCCCAACCCCTCTGCAGTCAGGACAGCTGAGGCCCACAGTGTGTGTCGGGGGGGAGGTGGTATGTGAGGACAGTTGTGGCCAGGACAGGGTCCCCCAGGACAGCTGCCAGCCCCCTCCTGGTGGTGGTCTGGGGGAGAGGGCACCGGCCCTCCTGTGCTCTGCCCTCTGTCCTCGTCCTTCAGCGGCCTCCGCCTCGGGCAGAACTGGCTGAGGCATCACAACCTGCCCTCGGAGCCCGGTCCCCCTCCACCGCTTTGTCCTGTTGGGGGGAGGGTGCCGAGTCAGCAGGACCCAGAGGCTCCCAGAGCCCTTTGTCCTTCCCACACAAAGGGTAGGCGTCCTGGGGTGGGGGTGGGAGTCCTGAGCCTGTGGGGGAAGGGTGCCCGCTGTCCCTGTGGGGGAAGAGGAGGTGGAGGGTAGGGCTGGGGCCTCCGGACCACCTCTGAGGGGCAGAGGAGTCGCCGGTGGCCCCCACAGGCTGAGCACCCCATGCCCTGCTGGCAACAGCCCAGCTAGAAGGGGGTCCCTCCTGTCCCTGATGCCCGGAGGCTCGGGAGGGTTAGTCACAGCCCTGGATTATTCCAGGGCCCTCGTGGAGGGAAGGACGGTGGTGGGCGGGGGCCTGCGGTGAGGGCCTGGGTGGAGGGAGGTTGGGAGGCTCGGGCCTGCCGCCTACTCTCCTGGAGGCGCCCACTCCAGGGCCTGGCGCAGGTCTGGGCAATGGGGGATGCGCAGGAGGTGGGCAGGGCGGGGTCCAGGGCTCTCCTGCTGTGACGGGGAGCAGAGGCCCTGCCGGTCCCCATGACCAGGGAGGAGCAGGAGCCGGAGGCCGTCTCCCCGTAGGCCCGGCTCCTTGGGTTCCCCTGGGTGTGTGGCGGACTGACCATGACGGCTGGAGCTGAGAGGGACCCAGGAGCCTGTCGGAACCACTTTGGCCACATAGGAATTACGCTGACGACAGCCGCAGAAACAGTGCAGAGATGGCCAGGGCCCCACGTCCGGATCCCCAGGAGAACACCCAGGGACGGCTCTGCCTCTGAGCCCGTCCATGTGCCCCTGGTCCTGTGCTGGAGGCAGCATCACCTCTGGCCTCACTGGGGATGAGCTTGACCCGATGACCTCTGGCAGCCCCTGCCCTCAGGGCCTCACTGAAGTCCCCCCATGACCCTGTGAGGTGATCAACTGTAGGCCCATCTTCTGGTCGGGAGGCCTGGCCACGGGAGAAGGTGCAGCCAGGATCTGACAGTTCCCTCCAAGGTGCTGACCTCACTGACCCTGTCCCTGAGTCGCCCTGACGGGGGAACAGGCACCCCGGGCTGGCAGGTTGGATGGGCTCAGCAGGGCCCCAGAGGGGTGTCCAGCTCCTCCTGCCCCAGGTGCCACCTGTCCATCCGCCTGCCGCGCCCCAGGTGGCGTCCTGGGCCCTCTCTCTGACCTTCTCTGCAGGTGACTCAGGCTCTGAGGAAGTCAGTGGAGAGCAGCAGAGACTGGAGCCGGCTTCCCTGGGCCCCGGGGTGGGGGCGGAGGGGCCCTCCTGGGCGCCCACGGGCTGCCTGAGCGGAGTCTCCTTGCTGTGAGGCGAGGGGGGGGGCAAGCTCCTTCCTTTCTGGAAGCTTCTGCCTTGTCTCTCTCCAGGCAGCATGGAGGGTGGATTTAGAGGGAGGGGGGTGTCCCACCCAGGGCGGCTCCCCCACAGCCTGGAGGCCCTGGCGTTTTCCTGGTGGGGGCCAGCTGGCCTGGTCAGGTCTCTGGAGTCCTGCCCTTCCCCCCAGCCTCCCTGGTGCCACCTCCTGAACCACCCCCCACTGCAGCTCTGCCCACCCAGAAGCCCCTTTCTCTGGAGGACAGTCTGGTGCAGTGGGTGCACCCCACACCGAACACTGGGGCACCTGTTTGATGCCCCCTGTGGGTGCCTCAGTTTCCCCACGAGTTCAGCAAGGGGCGCGGACTAGATCATGCTTCTCAAACTCTGCCTCCCGGTCCCTGGGACCTTGTCAAGTGCAGCTTCTGGCTCTGTGGGTGGGTGGGCCTGGCACTGCCCGTGGACCACCCGAGACTCGGCCAGCCTGGGGGACGGACTCAGCCTCCCGTAGGCACCAAGGGCGGCACGCGGGCACCACGAGCATGTGGGGGCGTGTCGTGGGCAGCTCTGCGCCAGCCCCCGGCCCCCACCGCGCACCCACTTGCCCGGAAGGAGCCCGCAGTGGGGGGGTTCGTGCGGACTGGCCGCTGTCCCCCAGCTCGGCCCGGCTCCCCTTGGCTGGGCTCCCAGAGCACCGAGGGCGGTGTCTGCCCCTCTCACCAGCACGGGGCACATGGTTCCAGCTCCCACCCACTGGGTGGGCCCAGAGCCACTCGGACCCTCCTGTGCGGTGCCCTCATGGACGCCAGCCCGGCCGGCCGTCTGCTGGGCCGGGCACCTCTGGGCTGGGCACCAAGGCCGCTTCTGGGAGGCACCAGGGTCTCCGTGGGCTGCGGCGGGTCTGCTGTCTGGGGACCACGTCCGTGTCACCAGAGGCTGGGGCACGGTGGGGGCAGGAGCCACCTGCACACCCAGGACAGGCCGGGCAAGACCAGCAGGTAGGGCCGAGGGCCTGGGAGGGTGTCTGGGCCTTGGATCGGCAGGGACACCCCCACCCACCCGGTGTCCCAGGCTTGGCCCCAGGTGCCCGGCAGCTGTCTCCCTGTGGCCCCTGGCAGGCGCCACATTCTGGCCTCAGTCTCTGGGGTCAAAATTTGAGCTACGAGAACTGAACCCAGAGTGGGGCCTGGGGCCTCAGCAGGGGTGACTGGTGAGTGGGAATGTCTTGAGGGCAACGGGGACCCTGAGAGCTCCCTCTGGAGGGGCAGGGGCAGGAGGGGCCAGAGACCCCAGGACTTCCGGGAGGTCTTCCGCTCCAGGCCCCGCCCCTCACAAGGACACCGTGCCCTGTGGCCATCACTGCCTACACAGCAGTCACCTTGGCCCGTCCTGTCCCTGCGGAGCCCCTAGCGGACCCCCCCCACCAGGTCAGGGAACAGGTGGAGAGCTGGGCAGGAGGGATGGCCCCTTGGCCTTGGAGAGGCTGCCCCCTCCTTGCCCACCTAATGGGGTGAAAATGAAGGTCCCTGCTCTCCGCCAAGGGTCCTGGGGCCAGGGCGAGAAGGGGAGGCTGGAGACGGAGGCAGAGGAGGCCAGTAAAGCACAGCAGGGTCCCGGGGCGGCAGGGTCCCGGGGAGGCAGGGTCCGGGGGAGGCAGGGTCCCGGGGAGGCAGGGTCCCGGGGCGGCAGGGTCCCGGGGAGGCAGGGTCCCGGGGAGGCAGGGTCCCGGGGCGGC